TTCTTGCCGCCGCCGCAATAATAGCTCTAATCAGACAATGATTGGTGCTTTACGGTCGGCGGCGCTTCAATCGGCCGTCATTAAGCTTATCGGGCCCGCCATCGGTTCGCGAACGCACGCCTTTTTGCACGCCGGCCGGAGCGGCGAAGGGGTCGGGGCTCACCGGCACGGCCGGCCGCGGCGCCGTACTGGACTCCGTGTCCGTGTCGGTGTCACAAGCGTCATAGGCCGTGTCAACGGTGTCAGCTCTCGTGTAGCCAGGTGTCAGTCTGTGTCGACTCGTGTCGAAACCTCGAAAACCTCACAGATCGGCGGGGTGGCGCGTCGTCACGGTGGACTGTCATTGTTTGAGTCAAAGTCCACTTGAAAATTTAATTTTATAATATGTGCAAATCTCCCTATATGAAACCGTCATAAGTACAATCCCCTTCAATCAGCATATATCACAATTCCACTTATGTATATATTCAAGTTTTCATTGCCTTTTTTTCGAGACATCTTAGTTGGGTATATCTATTCAAAAAAAAAAGATTAAGCCACTATTTACTTTTCCATTATTTCATTTTTTTCCACTTCCCGCGACATATGCATCTCACAGTCATACCTACTGTTATAATTCATCACGCTTTGCCCTTCCCTCTCCCCCCATCCAACTGCGGTTCAGCCGCCACAGTTCGCAGCGGTCTGTGGCGGTCAGACTCAGTAACGGAGACACGCTCACCAGTCCACGATTGTGTCTTCTGCGGAGCACGACGGCTGCGTGTCGGTCCGCACGGCTTTGAACCCACCGCACTACAGCGGACACCATCCACTGCGGTCTGTACACGATGAAAGATAACAGGGAGAACACGGACACGCAGACGCGCAAAACCGATAAAAAACGGCACGAAAGGTGTAAATTGGTGATGAGAGCAGGATTGTGGGGGCGTTCCGACGTGTCTGGTTACGACTGTGCGGTTTGTATGCCGGAAATGCGTGTTAAGTGAGAACAGAACACCGTAGTGGTTGTCGGTACTTATTGCGTGCACAAATGCATCGTGCTACATTCTCTGTGTTATCGTCATGTGGAGCGCTTTGGTCTCTATGTTAGTATCTTCTACCGCCCTACAGTGTAGTCGCTAGTCTCAAGTGGAGCGTTGTGGTCTGTCATAGTGTTTGTGGAGCGTTACACTCTCTGTTATAGTGTTACGCGAATCTTTGCAGTCTCTGTGCTAGTGTCCTGTACTGAGTTACGGTCTCTATGTCAATGTCATATGAGGTATTATAGTCTCTGTAATATGGTATCTTAGGAGCTTCACAGTATCTGTGTTAGGATTACGTGGAGCGTTGCAGTCTGTGTTAGTGTTATGTGGAGCGTTGCAGTTTCTGTACTAGTGTTCTGTACTGCATTACAGTCTGTGTGTTAGTGTCCTGTGAAGCGTAACGGTATCTGTGTTAGTGTCGTGTGGGGTGATACAGTCTTTGTGTTAGTAGCGTGTGCCGTATTGCAGTCTGTGCTAGGGTTATGCACTACGCTACAGTCTTTGTGTTAGTGTCATAAGGGGCGCTGCAGTCTCTGCTAACGTTATGTGGAGCGTTGCAGTCTCTATGCTAGTGTTGTGTGGCCATTGTGGGGCGTTGCAGTCTCTGTGCTAGTGTCTTGTACTGCGTTACAGTCTCTGTGCTAGTGTTTTGTACTGCGTTACAGTCTCTGTGCTAGTGTCTTGTACTGCGTTACAGTCTCTGTGCTAGTGTCTTGTACTGCGTTACAGTCTCTGTGCTAGTGTCTTGTACTGCGTTACAGTCTCTGTGCTAGTGTCTTGTACTGCGTTACAGTCTCCGTGCTAGTGTCGTGTGGAGAGTTGATGTCTCTGTGTAAGTGTTATGTGGAGCGTTGAAGGCTCTGTTCTAGTACCCTGTGGAGCGTTGCAGTCTGTATTAGTGTCACATGTGGCGCTGCGGACTCGGTCACTCGGTGTTATTGTTGCGCGGAGTGCTAGTCTCTATGATATCTTCGTGTGAGGCATTACAGTCGCTGCACTCCTTTTTTGTTAGTTTTGTTTTCTGATCGGTTTGGACACGGCAAACTGATTTTGATGAATGTATGCAGCCGCTTGTCACCATATGTTCGGAAAACTGGAGAAGAGAAGCGGTTGATGGGTACCGAGATGGAGGCATAAATGAGTTATATTTCCTCTATGTAATGCGAGGGTCCTCTGAGTTCTTACTCTTGCTGCTAGAGCTTTGCTGCCGTATATTTTTCAATAAGCTATCTCATTTAAATCAGTCGCTTTTACTTAGGAGCTTCGCAGTACAAGTACTTGAGCCTCTAATCCTGTTCACTAGGGATATAACAATGCTCACCAGCCCCATCTCAGCCCGCATATGAACCCGGATGGTGAATGTTTGTCGGTTGTAATGTGGCGCCACTCCCTTGGCGTCTGAAGATATGAGCGCCAGCAGGTCGTACATCGACGGGTGGCCGGTGCAGCCGGGCCTCATCCATCACCCGGCTAATGTGTCATCGCCGTCGGCCGACATCTAGATTAGGCCGGCCCTAATGAATTCCTGCCGGCACGACGCGCAGATGCGGCCTCCGATAGCCGCCGACACGCCGGTGACACACCTGTGACACCCTGACACCGTGCTCACGATAGGCCGACGCTCAGTGCTGTTTGTAATCCGGTTATTACAGCGGGCCTGTGGACGCGCGGCGCGGCGCCAGGCGGCCAGGCGAGCGGAGAGGTACGGAGCAATGCGAGAGGCGACCGGGCAGGGTGAGATGAGGCAGCTCGAGGTCAGACGCGAGACCAGAGGCGAGACGAACTGAGGCAAGGCGACTCGAGGCCGGACTGGTAGAGACGAGGTAGGGTGATGCAGAACGAAGGCAAGGTGATGGCAAATTGAATCAGGCGAGTCTATATAGAGAGGCGTGGAAGGGTGATATGCTGCTGAACGTAGCCCATTGGACCCCACTCCGTCTGCTTCCAGAGGATGTAAATACTGATTCGGACAGACGCGCGGAGGGTATCCACCGAGCGCCGATGTGTCTGGAGCAGATCAGTGAGACACGGCGACAGACGACAATCTCCGAGATGGCCCGCGCTGATGACAACCCGTGTACTGTGAGAGAAAACATAGGCTTGTGTGGATAGCGTTCTGGGAAGGATTAGTGTTCCTGGGGCTTTCCATTGTGGTTTCTGCTTTGCCTAACAAATCTGGTGGGGATTAAGCCCACGCAATGACCAAAGGTTATCGGGCATCGTTTATCAAGTCATGAGAATGTGATTCTGGGGACACTGCACAGTCTGGTTTCAAAATGCTGGTGATGGAGCAATGTAACCCAACGGGGAATTCTGGAATATGTTGCATTTTATATTTATTTATTTACATATTTATTTAAGCGATTGTGTTATTTCTAGACATCGACCTTACAGTTTCAAAGGAACTTCTCTTGCAACATCATCAATGCACCTATGACCTAGCTAGTTCCAAATAGAGTTACCTGATCTACCTGATCAAAATACATCTTCGACACGGCTCAGCCAAAAATCTTTCACCCACTTACTATTTAGGAGTCTGGCTCTCACAGATTCTGCCTTGCATGCTATTTAGTAACCATGAAGCAAACTTAGGAGCTCAGTTGACCAAAGCGCCTTACGCTGGGGCCTTGGGGCACGTGCCACTCGGCGTCTGAGCGGATCGCCGCAGCAGCGGAGGGTGTCCACAACTAACCGAAAGTGGCCGGCCTGCTCACCCACAAAACCGTAAGGTGCTTACCAACAGTAAGCTGATTATTGCATGACGTATACGAGACGCAGTGCAGGGGTATTTGTGCATTGCTTTTTCAAATTTCCCATTGATGCCCATGGTGCAATTGCACACATAGCGAAAAAAAAAACGGAAAAATTCGTTCAAAGTCGAAATCGGTACGAATAAAATAAAACACGTGGAAAACTTGTGAAAGAAAGTGTTTCAGCCAAATCTATTTTTTGTAGAATTTGTTCAGCAAATTGTCCTATGCTCGAACACTTAGGACAGATATCAAAATTAAACCTAACTTAATTTTTATTCTGCAGTGATCCCTGTCCCGTATTGTCCGCATCAGCTTCCTCGTCTCGTCTTTGACGTCCTATTCCGTTGGTCCTGTCAACCTATCCCGTCTCTTTCCAACCCGCTCAACCCGTCTCCTCCTGTTCTGGCATCTCTAATCCGTCTACACCGCCTCTTGTGTCCCGTTCTTATCCGTCATGTTTCCCTTCCTAACTCGACACAGCCAGCCTATCTCGTCCTGTCCTATCCAGACCCGTTTTCTCCTTACCTGATCTGTCATTCCCTGTCCTGCCCTGTTCTTTCCCGTCTTATCGTCTCGTCCCAACAGCGAATGCATGTTGTCTGTACAAAACACAAATGTGTCATAACAGATTACCATAATGAGACTGCTTTCTCTTAGCAGGTATTAGTCTGCTTATAGGTAACATGTTGTGATAATGAATCTTGCTCGACTGCTCGCATTGACTATGTTTGTTTCCTGCTTTTAATGTTCTCTTCCATATAGTCTGACAAAATGCCCATAGTGAGCATTAGCGTTTAATGACTATGTTCATTTTTATTTTTTATTTTGATAAACGGACATACCTACCAAAATGTGACAGACGGTGCTGCTTTTTCGTTACAGAATGACACTTTTTACGTGACCTTCAATTTCAACGCATGGCAAGAGCAACTGCAATGCAGTCGACAGCAATGCATGTGCTACGTAAGCTTTATGCCTAAAACATGCACTTATGTCTTCTGACAGATTACTTCACACCACGGCCGGCCGTTTGGTGGCACGGGCGACACTGATCTCATAGCCTGTGGTGGGCTGTAAAGCTCCCCGACATATCGCCTGTGATTTGGGACTCCATTGAGATTCCTCACAGATGTTCACCCCTGCCCTGCATACAAACGCATCTCGTTTTTTTTTTTGGGGGGGGGGGCGCCCGGACTACAGTGGTCATCGGCGACAAACGCATCTCGCCACGAGTCATTGACTTTTATTCGACACCGTTCCCATGTAGCTGACAAAAATGACATCAGTATCCCATAACAATATAGCCCGGTGTGTATATCCAGCCAGGCACGGTTGCCCGGGTCTGCGGTCCGGCAGGCTGGGAACCCAGCCTGGCCACCCTCAGAAACACGGACGGAGGCACGGGGAGCCGACCTGTTCACCGCCGCGACTTCACTGCGCCCGACAGCAGCGCGTCCAACAGCAGCTGTCTTTGAGATAAATGCCCTGACGTCAGCCGTATCAACAGTTATCCTATAGGTATAATCTCTGTCACGACAGCCATTCAATATACATTATACGCTCGCACGTGTTTGCACAGACTGACAATTGCAGATCAAAGCAAAGCATTCCCAAATAACATATACATACAAATATTGCTGCTCATTGGCTATCAGAAGCTTTTCTGGTAGGTAGGTATTCTGTGAAAATCACACCAGCTGCATTATAGGTATAAGCATCTTTTTCCTAGTGCTTACCGCTTGGAACATTTTATTGAATCGAATGTTAAAGCAAAAACAACTCAAGAACAAAATGTTTCAAGATATTAGACCAAGGACAAATAGCAAAAACAAACAATATGTAGTAGGTATTGAGTACCATGATAACTTAAAACTTATCAGCACGTATCAACTCTTAGCAATAAAAATCACAGAGAACACTGTGCGACAGAACAACGCTTGGAAACTCCAGCTAAATGAATTTCCAATAATGGCACATTCGAGCGAATCCACTGAACCATTGCCTCGTCACCCAGACGTATGTGACCAGTGCAGACTGTACCCAGATCACACATCCGTTGTTCATGCAAATGGCATGGATGCTTCAAGATCAGACAACGCGCCCTCAAATCGTGGCAAGAAAGGCTGCATCTTATGGCAACTGCTGTCGAAAATCATTTGCAAAAGGCAAATAATCGCAGCAGAAGGTATTTCAAGATATCTTGTTCACATCTAGGCACTACAAAATGCAAACAAGAACAAAACCGGTCGTCATGTCACGCACAATAACTCTGACCAAATTCAGATAACCTAAGAGAGACCTTTAAGATCCAACACCTCCACCTCATCACATAAGTTTAACGACTTGTTTTAGGACATGAGGGCGTCGATGCTGAATGCCGAAGCTGCTCTGGAAGGTGAAGAGGACGTCGCCGGTGACCCCGCTCCACCCTCCATCGCTCGGGCCTTGTCCGCTCGCATGTGCGCAGAAAGGGCATCCTCCTCCACCCCATCTCCTTCGTCGTCCTCGTCGTCGTCGCTGTCTCCCGGCTCTCTGTCGTAGCTGGTGGACGGGCTGGCGGTCGGCGTGGTGACGCGGCTGCCGGCCCGACTGCCTGCCGGACTGCTCGTGCCGGCCTGGTCGGCGGAGCCGCGCGCCGCCGCCGCCGCCACGGAGCCGGACTCGTCCCCGCTGCCGGCTGCCTCCGGCTGCTCGCCCAGACTGTGTGTCAGCAGGTGGCGGCGCAGGTCGCAGTTGCGCCGGAACACCTTCGGACAGGAGGTGCAGCAGTAGGGCCGGATGTCCGTGTGCGTCAGCAGGTGCGTCTTCAGGTTGGAGCGCTGGTTGAAGCTGCGGCTGCACGTGGGACAGCGGTGCGGCGACTCCTCCATGTGCAGGATCTTGTGTACGGCCAGCGTACGCGACTGGCAGAAGCCCTTTCCGCACACACCGCAAACGAACGGCTTCTCCTTGGAGTGGATGTACCTGACGAAGAGAAAAAGAAATAGTCAGGGAAGTGTATAGAATAGAGCAGCCGCATTTTTCGCTGACGGCCGAGTTCAAAAGCACTGAATTACCAACCAAATACTAAGCCCATCCAGGCATCTATTCATAAATATTGAAACATGGCCGATGATCATTTTCCAATCCTCTGCATCTGCACGGTTCGATTCCCGTCCGAGGTCAGCCACCCACCGGCTGACCGGTCGGCGGCGGCGGCGGCCAGTCGTTTGGTGCCATGCTCGCCGGCGCCGCGCGATGGTAATTAGATGCTGACGCAGCCGCCGCGGCCGCTCCCTGCACAGTCGTGCACCGGTGTGCAGCGGTGTGCACTGTGCAGCGGTGCGATACCGCCCCGCCCCCGCCCCCGCCCGCAGTGAGCGGCGGCGGCGGCGGCGCGCCAACACCCCGACCGGCCGGCGCCGCCCGCGCCCCGTGAAAAGTGGCTCGATAAATTCCCGGCGAACATCATTGATAGCAGCCTTATAATGTTACTCTTAGTGCTGATTATTCGGACGGCTTATTGTTGGCGGGGATATTTATTAAGCATAAGTCACCGACGTGTGGGATTTAGTGTCGTGTAAAATTCGGCGCGCCGCGTCTAAATCACCGCCCGCATTGTGGCCGGCGGATTCTCCGCGAGGCCCACAATTCTCGACTGTCTCTCAACCATACCGATGATTAATACACGTTGCAAAATTGTGCCTGTATGTGTGGTCTCTGAATTATGGGCCACATTAAAATCGGAGGCGTTTATCTGCACATCAGTGACAGCGGGAGTGTTAGCACCGGCGGCTGCAGGCCGGGCCGCCCGGACCACCGAGCGGGCCATGTGGCGGCCGGCCGACCACGTGGCGCCTGGGGCTATGCTGGCACTGAGCTGGCCCCATAGCAAGCAGCCCGGTGATTGGCTGCTTGGGCTCCTGCCCTCGAGGCGCATGCGAGGTGACCTCGGGTCAGCGCGCGGTTATTGAGGGTAGTTCGTTCTGGATGCTCGGCGGGGAAGTGCTCGCTGTGTGGGTGGAAGTGGTGCTCTGGCTGTGGTGTGGTGGTGGTGCACAATACAGCAAGTGAAATATCTTAACTGGTGTGGAGAGGAGCTGGACCAGTGGAAAAGGGGACGCGACAGTGAACAGCAGCAAGTCTTCTCAGCGTGCGAGTCATCAACACGGCCTTTTCCGGGGTGTGTGAGGGAGGCGGCCACAGTGTCTCGCCATCGAGTCACTGAGCTTAAACTCGTTCCCCGGGTCTTGCCATCGAGGCTCGGGTGCGGGGTCTCCGCTCAGACAGGGGTGCGACCAGTCGGCTCCGGCTAACCTTGCCATCGAGGCGCCGGAGTATCGGTTGATCTGTCCGATTACAGTGGTCTCGCCATCGAGAGGCTGGAATCGGGCAGCGGCTGGCGTCTTCCTCACCATCCTTATCTACCCATCGCTCTCCTACAGTCCTTGTCTATCATCCGGCTAAATAAGTGTCGTTGGCGTGTGAAATACCAGAGGACACGTGGCGACATTTCTGGTCCTCCGGGGGCCGGATTGCGACCAGTGAGCTGAACAGGAGAAGATGGGGATAGAAAAAGAAGAGGCAAAGGATGTCAAACGGCCCGATCCCACTGCAGATGGAGCTTTTAAGGATGTTAGAGATCAAGAGCTTGCTGGTCTGCGACGACTGCGTGGTATCAAGAGGGCTGTCGTGACGAGGGTGTCCAAGGTGTTAGAGGCAGAGATAGCAAGACATCGGAATCGCGATTGCATCCAGGAGGTAAACGGAAGGCTGAAAGAAGCTTTTTCTGATTTGAGAAAAGTTCATCAGGAGTATGAAACCAAACTCAATGACGCAGAACTGGAGGAAGCTCAGGGATACGCTGATAATCTTGAAGAAGAAGAGTCGGCTATTCGGGGGAAGATCCAGCTGTACCTTCAAGAGTTGGATGAAGCCAAGTCATCAGCTGCCACTTCCCGTCACACTCGAAGTCGTGCCAAGTCACACACCTCAGCAGGCACCGCTGTTTCAGTTCGATCCAGAGAGGCTGCTGTGGAACTGGAGGACGCTGATCGCAAGCTGCGGGACCTCCAAGCTCAAGTGGAAGAGAGTCGTCGGAACATGAAAGAAAGACAGGAATTAGATGAACGCGACAGGGTGCTACAGCTCAGAATAGCTGAAGAGGCCCGCGACAGAGCTGCTCGGAAGGTGCACATGTATCAGGCTGCGGAAGACGAATTGAACTGGGATCGTCGGCATGATTTCGACGAAGCGGCTGTCAAAGGAAGAAAGGGATCTGCTGAAGGTGCGGGGGTAGATCAAGCCGCCGAACCACCGCATTGCACGAGCGTACCTGACAATGTGCCTGGTCCAAGACCACAAGGACCTAAAGCTGCTCCGGAAGTGGAGGTGGATGGTTCATCTCTGAACCCAGACAACTGGACATCAAACAGCAAAGGGCAGGAGAAGCACGGGCATCCACCTCCTGGGATGTCAGCTTTTGCCAACAGTGTTCCACGTCTTAATTTACCGCGGTTCACAGGCGAACCAAGTGAGTGGCCGCGCTGGATCAGTCTCTTCAGAGCACTGGTTCACGATCAGGCATCTCTCTCTGACACGGAGCGGATGGCGCATCTACAACAAGCAGTAGATGGAGTTGCCCAGCAAGCCATCGAGGGATTCTTGTTCGATGGCAAGATGTATCACCAGGCGTTGACAAGGCTGCACGAGCGTTTTGGTCGAGAAGGCGACATCAGTCAAGCATATCTCAGTTCCATGTTTGCGACACCAGCTCCTTCAATCAACAACATCGCCTCAGTGGAGAGGTTCAGTTCAGCTGTCAGCAACACTGTGCTGACGCTGCGCGCTCTGAACCACTACAATGATCTGAGAGCCATCGAGAACCTGCGTCGAGTAGTATTGAAGCTTCCTGCGGAGTTGTCCTACCAGTGGGGACGAGAAGTGCATCAGATGCATCCCAAGCAGCCCGATCTGGAGATCTTCAGCAAGTGGCTGGAGACAGAGACTGCCATCTTGAGAAACTCGGCCAACCATAACCGTGATCCAGAAAGAAAAAGGCCATCCGCGAGTGCACGGGAGACCTCGGCGCGACGAACAACTCTGACTACGTCGGCCACGTCTTCCCAGACGGAAAACAACCGACGTCGCTGGTTCTGTGTCCTGTGCAAGGAACAGCACAAGCTTCAGGATTGCACGGAGTTCAAGTCGAAGACGGTGGAGGAGAGGCTGGTCGTAGTGAGCAAGGAACGGCTGTGTTGGGGCTGCCTGAACAAGGGTCACTTCATGAGGGATTGCCGCTCTGCAAGACGATGCAACTTGAATGGATGTAATGCATCTCATCACCGACTCATACATGTGGACAGAAGCGCTGCTGGTGATGAAGAAAACCAAACAGAACCAAAAACAGAGGCACGAGGAGGAAGTCGCATCGTCGGCACGGCTCTCACAGAGACGACAGACACACTGCTGCAGTTGGTGCCGGTGCGGATTCACGGCCCAAACGGGGAGAGAGACGTAGTAGCACTGCTGGACCCGGGAGCGCAGACATCGCTCTGCTGTGAAGATGTCTTGGAAGAGGTTGGGGTCCCTGGAGTCCGAGAGAATCTGCAGCTACAGAACATCGAAGGAAGCGGTACCAGACAGTCGTCTCTTCGAGTTCAGCTGACGGTCAGTCCTCTGAGCACAGCGACCAGCAGAAATCGAATCGTCGTGCCCGAGGTGTGGTCTGTGCCAAGGTTGAACGTGGCCCCACCCAGCATGAGTAGCAAGCAGCTTCGCAGCTGGAAGCACTTGCAGGACCTGGACCTACAGCAGTACAACGGCGCACACGTCGAGCTTCTACTTGGTGCCAACATTCTGGAAGCTGTGCTGCAGCGAGAGGTCAGGGTGGGAGGCCCCGGAATGCCCGTCGCTATCCGGACAGACTTTGGCTGGACCCTGACGGGATCGATATCCACCCTGATTCCAAGCACAATGCGGCAAGTCATGTTCGTGCGTCAACGTGCTCCCGAAGACGCTCTGGAAGGTCTGCAAGAGTTGGTCCAAGACTGGTGGACGACCGAGGCCTTCGGCACCATGATCAACAGCTCTGATGCACGATCTCAAGAAGATCTCAGAGCTATGCGAATCTTGGATCAGCAGACCAGGAAGGTGGGGGACAGATATGAAGCTGGACTTCTGTGGGGTGAAGACGAACCGATGTTACCGGACAACTGGAACCAAGCGTACCGACGTCTTCAGTCCATCGAGAGGAAACTCGATAAGCAGCCAGAACTGGCTACAAGGTACCAAGCCATCATCGACGGATATGTGAAGGATGGTCACGCAAGGAAGCTCTCAGCAGAAGAAGCGGACGAACGGAAGGAGAAGCGTTGGTATCTGCCACACCACGCAGTAGTGAACCCGAACAAGCCAGGGAAGCTGAGAATCGTCTTCGACGCTGCGGCAACATACCAAGGTGTATCACTGAACTCGAAGCTCATCACAGGTCCAGATCTACTACAAAGCCTTCCTGGGGTGATCATGCGCTTCAGGGAAGGTCTGATCGCTGTGACAGCGGACATCAAGCAGATGTATCATCAGGTGAGGATCCGGACAGAAGACCAGCCTGCATCGAGCTTTCTATGGCGGGATATGGAGCGACACCGCAAGCCTGACGTCTATCAGATGGAGGTGGTCGTCTTTGGCGCGAAGTCATCACCGGCAACGGCCAACTACGTGCTGAGAAAGGCACTTCTGGACTATGGAGCGGAGACAGACAAGGTTCTCAGCAGAAGTCCCGAGCAACTGGCAAAGTCGTTCTACATGGACGATTGCCTGTTCTCTTGCATGACGGAAGACGCCGCCAAACAGCTGTATGCTGACGTGAAGGAGGCACTGCAGAGAGGAGGTTTTCACCTCACGAAGTGGAGAAGCAGTTCCCCCGCTGTGCTGAAAGGCGTTCCAGAGAGTGAGAGAGCCAGCGCCTCTGCGAGCCTATGTCTCAGGAGCTCGCACACCGCTGAAAAGACGCTGGGCATCGCATGGGAGGAAGACGGGGACACATTGGGGTTTCGTCTCCAAGCCAAAGAAGTGAGTGCAACCAAGCGTGGTGTGCTCAGCAAAGTGTCAACAATCTTTGGCCCTCTGGGGATTGCTGCTCCTGTTACCGTGAGAGCAAAGATGATGATGCAGCGACTCTGGTGGAAACATCTGGAGTGGGACGAGCCACTACCCGAACCTGAGCTGAGCCAATGGTTGGAGTGGCTGAGTGAAGCAGAGAAGCTGAACGAAGTCGTGATGCAACGCTGCGTGAACCCCAGCGGCCCAGGGACACTGCGACGCCAACTTCATGTGTTCTGCGATGCGTCAGAGAGTGCGTTCGGCGCTGTGGCATACTGGAGGACAACTTCGAGCGATGGGTTACACCACTGTCGCTTCCTGATCGGCAAGTGCCGAGTCGCTCCACTGAAGCGACTATCAATTGTCCGTCTGGAGCTGCAAGCAGCCGTTCTTGGAGCGCGTCTGGTGGCTACCGTCCTCGGTGAGATCACTCAGCCACCGGATGACATCTTCTGCTGGACGGACAGCAAGGTCGTTCAGCAGTACCTTGATAATGAAACTCGACGGTTCAAGACCTTCGTGGCCAACAGACTTGCAGAGATTTACGAGCTGACCTGCAACGCGTGCTGGCGTCGGAGTCAAATGACGCCCAGGTCAACTCGCCAACGAGAGGCCGAACCATCGACCCTTCCGTCTGCTCCCAGTGGCCTCGCCATCGAGGGGCTGGGAGAGACAAAACACATCGGCATCTCCGCAACCGTGAGATAAACCAGCGGGGTTTACACGATCCTGACACATCGCTATCAAGCACTGGAGGACCAAGGGTCCTCTGAGTCTGGAGGCTCTCCAGCGTCTCTCCATCTCCAACGTGGGAGGCATTAGCCTCCGCGAGCGCTGCAGCGGCATCGGCGCAGGCGGCGGTGGCCTCCTCGGCCGCCTCAGCACGGGTGGCGGCTACCTCCTCGGCTACACCACCTCGGGCGGTAGCTTCCTCGGATGTGGCGGTTTCTGCTTGGGCGGCAGCGATTCGTCTAGCAGCGACGACGTCGCCAGTCGCCTTGGTGCGTCGGTGGGGATATACCACTGATTCCCATCATTAATCTTTGCTTAACGAAGTGGAAGTGTTTTTATTTTTCTGTTTCATGTTATACTTGCTGGTGTTTCAAGAAATAGCATCGTATTTGTTGGAATGTGAAATGGTTTATATGTGTTAGCGACGCGATGTGTACGGCAGCACGCCGGTTACCTTTCGTGAGTGTTGCCCTGCAGTGCAACACGGTGCGGGGGGATGTTAGCACCGGCGGCTGCAGGCCGGGCCGCCCGGACCACCGAGCGGGCCATGTGGCGGCCGGCCGACCACGTGGCGCCTGGGGCTATGCTGGCACTGAGCTGGCCCCATAGCAAGCAGCCCGGTGATTGGCTGCTTGGGCTCCTGCCCTCGAGGCGCATGCGAGGTGACCTCGGGTCAGCGCGCGGTTATTGAGGGTAGTTCGTTCTGGATGCTCGGCGGGGAAGTGCTCGCTGTGTGGGTGGAAGTGGTGCTCTGGCTGTGGTGTGGTGGTGGTGCACAATACAGCAAGTGAAATATCTTAACTGGTGTGGAGAGGAGCTGGACCAGTGGAAAAGGGGACGCGACAGTGAACAGCAGCAAGTCTTCTCAGCGTGCGAGTAGCCGATCATTTCCTTTCATCCGGGACTCATAACACGGCCTCTTCCGGGGTGTGTGAGGGAGGCGGCCACAGTGTCTCGCCATCGAGTCACTGAGCTTAAACTCGTTCCCCGGGTCTTGCCATCGAGGCTCGGGTGCGGGGTCTCCGCTCAGACAGGGGTGCGACCAGTCGGCTCCGGCTAACCTTGCCATCGAGGCGCCGGAGTATCGGTTGATCTGTCCAATTACAGTGGTCTCGCCATCGAGAGGCTGGCATTGGGCAGCGGCTGGCGTCTTCCTCACCATCCTGATCTACCCATCGCTCTCCTACAGTCCTTGTCTATCATCCGGCTAAATAAGTGTCGTTGGCGTGTGAAATACCAGAGGACACGTGGCGACAGGGAGCTCTTCCGTCGCCGGCGCCGGGCGCGGCTGACCTCGGCCGGCCGGGCCGGGCAGCTCCCCTGGGTGTGCCGACTCCCCCGCCGGAGTCGGCAGACGCCACCGAGGCAGGCGCGGCATTCCTGATTGGATGCCTCACGCCGGGCGCGGAGAGGAGGCAATTGTAATCCGGCGGGCCGCGCGCCGCTCCACCGGCCGTTTATCTCGGCACCGGGAAAGGGTTGGAGATCGGGTGTGGAATCGACATTGTCTGCCCCCGCGTGGCGCCACGCTGTAAACTAAATCGCCGACGCCGCGCCGAAACAGTCGTGCTGATGACTGGTAAGGGCCGCTCTAAAAACCAGTACCACCAGACGCCAGCAGCTCCCTCCAGGCAACACTCCAGCGGAGTGAATGCCATCGAAAGCAACGGACACCGGATATTTCACCGTATTCAATTAATTAAAGTAGGCTATTAACAGCATTGTCTTGAGACAACTTGAGCGTGAATACGTGAAACTTATACTATGGGTATTCATACCGGTGTTCAAATGTAGGGTAATATATCGTGTGCTTTGGTATGGGAGGGCAATTTATGTAGTTGTCACGCGATAGATGATATTTCGGGCTAAGCGGCAAATGTGACGAAATGCTACTTTGAAGTGAGACGTGTTCTGCATTTATACTAGCTTCCGAACCGATTGAGAAAGAGCAGTGCTCGAAATATATCGCTTTTGTATTGTATTTTTACCATTACAGTTTACTTAAAGTATTGAGGATAAGGTCAAATGACTCATACAGTAGGCTATTAACAGCATTGTCTATCAAATTATTAAGAAAACTTTCACCCATGTGGCACATTTCTGCCCATTGCCTGAAAACATTACTCTAATTTTCTTTGAATCATTCGATGCCCAGTGCCAACTTTCACACTCCCAGCCTTTTCTTCTGCGAGTCGCTTCCCTCGCCTGCATGCATTGCACGTTTCCGGGAGTGTCTTACGGAACGAGACTCCATCCATCTGCACATCGCACGCCCGCTATCTGGCGCCGAGATCTCGCCGACACCCTTGAAGTGACACTATCGGAGCGCGGATCAAGAGGAAGTCCGCGCTGCACAGAGTATCGCCTTCCGCCATCGTAACCCAAATGTCCCGCGGATGGAAAGCCCCCGCACCTGAGCAGCAGTGGCGGGCCCTGTGGCCGTCTGGCCTGACCGTATCTGCCCTGTACGGTTCGCGACTGGTCACGCCTAAAATCTACATCTGCTGCGGTTCCTGAGATGGTTGACCTCCTGGTAAGTCCTCGATCAGGAGTTAAGGTACATCTTCTAGTTCGCTCAGCAACTTTCCGCCAGTGACTCGGCGAATTTCTTATCTGATACCCTGATACCGCTTGGTTTAGTTTCTTTGGGCATTGTTTCTAACACTGAGCTACACGCCCAATTAAAAGACTACAATGATAACAGACGTCCGGTTCCGCTTTAGGGAAGTGGTGACGGATCGCACGCACTTCGAAGCTGAATGACAAGTTGTACAATCGCTACTTCCAAGATCCAAATCAATGGCAAACACTTCGAACTTCTGTGAACAAACGCTTACTTTCTGTGATTCGATGAACCCAAAAGCAAAGATAGCCTGAAAAGACAGGTTCCTTCCTCCGTACCTCAAAACATATCATTTCCTGTACTGCAGCCCTGGTATGACGGATATCATTTCACTTTCCTTATCGTCATTGCGTACTCCTCCCCCTTCCCTTCGAGCACACCGATCCCCAAAATGCATTCTAGGGGCTCACCTGCAGCCTCTGATAGCGAGCACCCTCACTTGAAGCCTGCTGTTTGTCCAGCCACACTTACCAGTAGTCCAACAGCTGGTCCAGCCACCTCACCTGTGGTCTCAGGTGGTCTTATGTCTTTACCTTTGGTCCCCGCAGTCAGTATAAGCATCTCACCTGTGGTCTCTGAGTTGGTCCTGCGTTCTCACCTGTGGTCTCTGAGGTGGTCCTGTCTCCTGAACGCCTTCCCACAGATGTCACACGAGAACGGCCGCTCGTCGGTGTGCGTCCGCTCGTGGATGAGCAGGTTGTAGCTCTTGGTGAAGTGGCGCTGGCAGTACTGGCAGATGAACTGCTTCTTGGGCCGCGCGGCGCGGCCGCGGCCGGCCGTGGTGCGTCTGGCGAGCGGCAGCGCGGCCCCCAGGCCGGGGAACAGGGCCGGCAGCAGCAGCGGCCGGTACGGCTGCAGCAGCGCCAGCGGCGACAGGCCCACGCCGGCGGCCGCGCTCGCAGGTGCCGGCGCCGCGCCCGTCGCCGACTCGGCCAGGCGCGAGAAGTCGAACTTGGCCTCCTTGGTGTCCGGACTGCTGCTGCTACTCCCGGCGGCGGCGGCCGTGCCGGCGGCCTTACCCACGCTGGAGAGCAGGCTGAGGCTGCGGTTCAGGCCGGCCATGTGTGAGAAGGTGGAGAGCACATGCTGCGAGCGCAGGGAGCTCTGCAGCGCCATGTACGACTCCAGCGCCGAGAGACTGTAGCCGGGCGACCCCGGCAGCGACAGCCCTCCGGCAGTCAGCGACGGCGGCAGCGGCTGGCGCGGCGGCGGCGAGCCCATGGTGCCTGCGGCGGTGGGCAGAGAGTGGGCGGCCAGGCATAGGCAGAGCGACAGCGGGGCGCGCGCGCGCTCGGGGCCGGCGGGCGACTGCGGCGGCGCGGGCGGCCGGACTGGCGGCGGCGGCGGCGGCGCGGCGGTAGCGCTCGGTCACACGAGCGACGCCTTCCCTCCGCTACTTGGCCTCGGACTAACGGCGTCGGCCGGGGGCCGCCGTCTCCGGCTTACGCATGCGCCCGGCGCCCGGCCGGCTCTGATTGGTCGACGGGCCGCGGCCGCTGCCGAAAATGGCCGGCCACCCGCGAGCTGCGTGCCCCGCCGCCGACCCGCCGGCCGACCCGCGCCACCGCAAACGGACGCTGATGGGCGCCGACAATTATTGAAAGTGATCGCCGCCTGATTTAGAGCCCCGTCTGGCTGAGTGGCTCCTCGGCGACTGGTGATTGGCAGCTGAGGACTGGTTAAAAGTCCGCCCCCGACCGAGAGACAGCTGAATAGACGACGGCTGTCACCGAACCTCGGCTGAAACAGGAGGGCGGGAGCATTGCACGGCCCGCTTTCCTAATGGTACTGCACGAAAGACAAACTGATGATCGTCGGCTTTTAGAATCCCTCCCACTTTCAGAGCGTCGATGCATTTCGCTGTCCGTTTAGGCTGCTCGTCGAAATGCTTACTCTATGCCATCTCGTAACCTTAAAAGGAAATGATCGATGACAAAGACGCTTTTCAGAAATACTTCGAAAATTGGAATGAAATTAAAACAACTTTTTTCTTTCGGAATCAATGGCTTAAGAAGTAAACGTTTTACATCCGACAGCTGCTGTTTTGTGTCTTCGAAATCCTGCGAAGGTATGTCAATGTTTTTTAATTTTATATAATTCTTTAAAGACGAATACTAAATAATGCGCAAAAATTACAGATAATTTTATGAAGGCCTTTTTAATTGTTCTTTATGTTACATTAATGCCTATCATTGGTCTTAATTGATAAGTCATTCATATCATGTTAATTTTATTATTACTTGGCTGCACAAAATGTTTATTTACATTACTTTCGAATTTGCATACCTGCCTTCTCTAAAAGCGCCATGGCATTTCTTTCAGATCATTTCCGAACACTATTGGCCAATCAGCGGTCAGCATACGGTACCTAGAAGTTGGCGGTGATTTGTAGTCCACTGCTCTCCGTCCCGCTGGCAAATATCGATAAACCTTTCAAGCGATGGTGTCTGAGTGGACATTTGCTGTATCGATATCTTCCTATACCTACATATGTCCACCGCCAATTCAGATAGTCTGGTGAAGATGATGTCCTTTGGAAATGGACAGCTACCTACTCCATATGAATTGCTATCCCAATCCGTTAACGGATAATTGCCAAGTAAATGGCTCTGAATTATTTCAACCATATGCCTTTTACCATTGGGAGCCAATTTGTCATCTCATGCTATTGTTCCACATGAAAGAACCATGTCTCTTTAAAGTTAAAGTAACATAAGTCATAATAACAATTAACACTTGCGGTATCCTGACTCATGAGCTATTCGCTATTTTATATCAGAACAGTAAGCCCGTTATTGAAAAAGAGCAACACGATGCCAGCTTTAGAAAGTGTAGGAATTTATAAGCATATATTTAAAGTTAAAATTTGATTCAAACCTCTACTTAGATTGTGGCGTTGAGCATCGTCAAACCATTGATCGTTAATTCGTAAAATGAATAAATACAATAAAAGCATAGATAAACACGCCTTCATACCAGCTTACCTACTTCAGCTTCACTCTCTCCCGTATTGGTAGGTACTTTAACATCGTCTAACGTTTAGGGGGGAGGAGGGGTCAAAAAGACCCTCTTTCCAGCTGCTTGGCTCCTGGTCGAGATGAAACTTCGAGGAAAGATCAAGCGTGTTGGCCGTGACAAGAGTAACTCGGTGAAATTTATCCAATGCTGCACTGATACTCATTGCCTGTCATGTTTCTCACGTTTCATTACCCAATGAAACTCACCACATCACAAAATGACTCCTTTCCTACATGTTTCCACACGCCTCCCCCTCGATTCTCTCACTCTCTCACTCACTCTGACCTTCAAACACCACAAGTAAACGTAAACAATGAGTAGTGGAAACCACGTGCTAACTTCATTCATAAAATAACCTTCAAATGATACAAACAAAATACATGCGTTACCGTGGATTATCACGTGACCACATCAAGTTTTTTCTTGCCAAAGTTGAAACCATACAAATTACAAATAACCTAAAAACAAATAAAACAAAATACAAATGAATCTTCTTGCCATGATGTTCTATCCTTGGTATGAAGTTATTAAAAACAAATGCAACGAACATTCATTACTATAAAGTCACGTGACTTTTTCACTATCAAATAATGAAAATAGTCAGCCTTGGGCTTCCCCCACATGGGTTAGTCCGCTTCGTTCAACGCCAGCCAAGAGGCGCTTGTTGCGTCGAACTGGTGAGGTGCTGGACATTGATTGTGCTATTTTCTGTTAGATTAGACATACCATACTTGAATGAATCTAGTAGAATGTACTGATTCAAATGGATCTCTTGATACTAAAATATTTAATCCCTTCCAAAGATTAGCATCATCTGATCTGCACCTGACTCATGAAAAATTTGAAGAGCTGAGATCTTCATGCAAATATTTCTCCCTTCCTCAAACACAAAATTTGAAAACTACTCCTGACCTCAACCAACTCAGTATCCTGCATGTTAACGCCAGATCTATTTCATCTAATGACAGATTTGATGAATTCCAGCTTTTCCTACAAAGAACACAATGTACATGGCATTTCATATGTGTCTCGGAAACATGGTTATCGAATGAATCAGTAAATAGTCATCAGCTTCCTGGTTTCACAGGATACTTCAACAACAGGGTCGGAAGGAGTGGAGGAGGAGTTGCAATTTATGTCAATGATAAATATGTTAAATCCTCATGTGATATAAAATTAAGCACAATGTCATGCACCCAATCCCTTTTTATTGAATGTCAAATAACAAGCATAACTGGAGTGATTGTTGGCATTATATACAAACCTCCTGATTTGGTAAACAACTTGTTTCTAGATGAACTCACAGCCTCTCTTGAACAGATTGAGAAAAAGAATAAATCAACATTTATTGCGGGTGACTTCAATTTTGACTTACACAATATTGAACAGGACAGTGCATGTCTAGAATTCTTCAACATCATGACTTCTTACAGCTACTGGCCAACAATTTCAAAATCAACAAGAGTCTCGGAGGACAGATGGTCACTGATTGATAATATTTTTTGCAATAACCTTGAGCTCTTGTCCTATTCTGGCATCATATATGATGACTTTTCTGACCACTTCCCTATATTCACATGCTGTACTAAAAAAATCAACCCACCTGAAGACAATTGGATTACCACCTTCAATTATAACAAAGTCACTGAACTACAAGAATACCTATCCCAACAGCTCTCAACATTCCATACCATCCCTGATGCAAATACTGCAGCTGATACACTTATCAATGCATACTCTTCAGGCATAGCATTGTTTAGCATTAAGAGGAAGTGTACTAGGAAAACAACAGCCATAAAACCTTGGATATCTTCAGCAATTCTCACCTCAATAAATACCCGTAGCACTCTATATAGAGAAAAAACAAAGAATCCTACAAATAGAAACAAACTTGCCTATCAAAGACATAGAAACTGCCTCAATGGCTTGATAAGGGAAGCGAAGAAAAAGTACTTTCAGGAACAATTATTGCTTCATAGGACAAATTCAAAGAAAATGTGGGAAATACTCAACAGTTGTATAAATAAGAATCCTAGAAAATCTGAAGTATCTACTGCTTTCAGTGATGCGCATGGAAATCCCATTGAAGACACCAAGCAAGTAGCTAATTTATTTAACAATTTTTTCATATCAATTGGTGAGAAGCTAGAAAAAGAAATCCCAAATACCAGAACTGATCCCCTGGATAGTGTCACTTCCAGTGAAAACACATTTGATCATTTTCACCCAACAAATTCTGCAGAATTAGAGTCCATGATAAGAAATATGAAAAACGTTGGTGCTGGTATTGACAACATCAATTCAAAGATATTCAAAAATACATATTCAGCAATACTCAGTCAATTGGTTCATTTAATAAACATATCGTTTGAGTACTGGAACATTTCCTGAAAGTATGAAGATGGCTGTGGTGAAGCCATTATACAAATCTGGAAATAAAAATATATTTAGCAACTATAGACCCATTAGTATCCTTCCCTATCTTTCCAAACTTCTAGAAAAGATTGTACACCAGAGAATCAATGCATACCTCATACAGAATGACATATTATGTAAGGATCAATTTGGCTTTCAAAAATCCTTATCAACATACATGCCTATAGTATACTCCTGCAAGAACGAATAACAAAAAGCATGGAAAATGGGAAAATGTCCTCAGCGGTATTCATTGACCTTAAAAAAGCATTTGATACAGTGAACCACAACATACTCATCAGCAAATGTCGTAAATACGGATTTACTGGTTGTGCTCTTCGCTTTATCAAATCATATCTCACAAACAGACAACAATGTGTAGAATTTAAAAGTACTAGATCCTCTTTTCAAAGTATTAAGCTAGGAGTGCCCCAAGGCTCTATCCTAGGCCCCTTACTCTTCCTTATATACATAAATGACTTAAAAAATGTATGCAAAAAATCAGAATGCCTTCTATATGCTGATGACACAGCCTTACTTTTTGAAGGTGAAAATACACAGGAACTACAAGAAAATATGAATAAAGAACTTGAAGCTGTATCCATTTGGCTTCAAGCAAACAAACTCACACTCAACGTACAAAAAACCATTTACCAAGTACACAACCAAATGGGTAATATCATTAATTTGAACATTATGATACATGGTGAAAGAATTGAAATAGCAGAAAAAGTAAAATATCTAGGCATCACTATTGACCCTGCCTTGAAGTGGAAATACCACATCGATAACATAGCAATCATTATCAGTAGAAATATTGGAATCTTGAGTAGAGCGAAGTACTTTCTTCCTGAAAAATCATTACTCTTGCTCTACAACTCACTGATTCTTCCTTACTTAAACTATTGCTGCCTAATCTGGGGTTTCACATATCCAACTTATCTCCACAAAATCGAAGTATTACAAAAACGAGCAGTTCGAATTATAGTAAATGAACATCGTCTTGCACATACTATGCCCATATTTCGTAAGCTCAATGTTCTTAAAGTAAACGCACTAGCTAGACAACAACTTATCATGTTCATGTATCGAAAATTCGCTTCACATTTACCATCGCAACTTAACCAATTGTTTACTACAGTAGATCAGGATAATATAAGAACAAGAAATAGACAACATTTTCACGAACCCTTCTCGGCAAAACGTTATCGTGCACAAATAGCATCATGGATAGGACCGCGTGTTGCATCCCAATTCTCTATAACAACCATTAATCAGATATCTAAATCTCAGCTAAAAAGATACGTCAAAGCATACTTCATACAAAATATGTAAGCTTTCTCGAGAATTTCCTCTGGAATTCTCGCTATCCTTTCATTGCAACTTAATTTCAAATGTACTTGCCTCAAAACTGCACTAATTGCAAGTAAATCACGTTTCATCGAAATTATTTTCATCATCGTCACCATGAATAATCTCTGGCGCTGGAGCAAGGAGCCTGACCAGCAACAAGCTTCGCTTAGCTGGAAAGGCTTTTCTGCCCTCAGCATTGACCGGCCGAATTTTTGACCAGAGCGATTCCCCACGTATGTTTGCATGACGTGTGAATGAGCGATTGTTTTTTCTACTCTAGATGAATGCATGCCCTTCTGAGTGAAAGTTGCTTTCGGTATCGTAGTAGAGAACAGTCATCTGTCTGGTTTCAGCAGTGGCTACTTTCGCATTCTGTTCTTGTCTCCGCCTAAACCCGCTACCCCTTCTCTCATTTGCTTTTTTTAGTTTTATTTCCTTTCTTAGCAGGGAGTGCCGCGACTTATCAGTTTATTTTATCTGGTGTTAACGTAAGGTTCTGCTAGTCGCTGGGTTTGAGGGCGGGGGCACTCCTGGTCACCTGATCATGGGTGGCGGAGTAGTTCGGAAAAAAATGCCTAATTTAGGGTCCTAACTCATAGGTTGAACTTTCAGGTTTGGTCAGTGACCCAAAAGTCTGGGAAAACGGGACCTGCTAGAACTTCGTAGTGAGCTTTCTTTGGGGTTTTTAGAGGTCCTGATTACGAAATTCATTGAAGTTTTTAATCAGATTATATCCTCATGCATTTTGAGTAGGCCATAACAGGTCAGGTCAGGTCATAAGCGTCCCGCCGGCGGCTATCCAAAGTAGGTGCTAAGTGTTAACCACCACCGATAGCTTGGCAACATGCTGAATAGGCACCGAAACTACTTCCTAAATGCTCAAATGGGTGCTAGATTTGAAAAAGGTAAAAAACTGCCCTAAAGGCATGTACAACTCGAAAGAGTACCTAAACCGAGGACAGCAGTGGTCAATGACCTTGACCTGACCTTCACATGACCTTGACATCCACCAGAATGCATCGGACGAGCATCATTTCACAATATTCACATGTTAGAATGCTTCATACCCCCAAAAGTCTGAAAACGCGGGAATAATGTGCGCTTGCATACGCCGAATCGCAATTTCAGCCTGACATAGTCTCGAGAAACAGGTCACAGGTCAAAGCGAATTTGGGTCAAGGTTATGACATTTTCATGGCAGGTGTAAAATTAATTTACTCGAAGGTACTGAAAGTTTTGTTGCAATCGGTTGCTTTTTGCGCGAGTCTCGATTGCTTTTTGCGCGAGATCCAATTAAAGTGATGTAGGGTTTTGAGCCTAAGTGCACCGTTTTATTATGTATTATTTCAGTCTAGATTAGGTGGTAGGCCTGCCAGGCACATTCACGGAATATACAGTCTCGCTAGACTAGTTATGCAGTATGCATTTAGCTATTCCGCGGCGTCACTCGTCCGCATTGCACAAGTGCATTATTACCAAATTGCCACCACTTGCTATTCCCAACTATCAAATATTTAGTCATTTGAGGTCCATTGTCTTTCCCCCAGGCGCAGTATTTAGCATTTATCGTCACGTGCTCCATGCGGCCACGGTTCGCTGTTGTTGTGTGGTGTGTACAGTGCATTGTACAGTGTGCAATGTGCACTGTGCATAAAGTGTACCGACTACCGAAGTCAGCGTGCCCGTCACGCCCCACTGCGCACAATCGAGCATTGCTGTTTGATCACGTCCTTTACTGAGGTCGCAGACACCTCCATACATAAGTCATATAATCGTCAGAGCGGACGGCGATATTGGGGTCTGTCTATAACTACATATCTACTTCGTATGGAACCACTGCTTCTTTGGTAATTACAGAAAATAATTACTGAGCGACTTTTCTAGAAGGTCAAATGCTTACCTTGGGTGGGACTGCTTTTATGCTGTCTACAAATGTACAAAACGTGAAAAAAATGTCGTTTGCAAACATCGGGGTCATATCTGCTAAAGGTAGTTACAAGTAAAACGTTTTCTCATATTTTCGAGAAATGCCTTTTCTGCAGCCGATACCGTGGTAGAATCACTCGCAAAAACACCTGGCCATTTTCGGGTGTCTGGCACGCCCCACTGCTGAACAGGAAGAACACTGTCGCAACGAATTCGCTGAGACGAAGATAGCAGCGTTCCACTGAAGATGTTTGCGTAAATCCGGCATCGTATCAATGAGAACACTTGCGTTCACCTGAAGATGGCTGCCGACTATCCCACCGTGCATCCGGGTGCCGCTGTCAGCACTGAAGCGAGCTCTACGAGGAATATCAGGACATGTGAGAAAGTTTCCCATTTGGAGAGCCATACCACGAAGCATAGGTTCATCTGCTTCTGTCTCGTGCCTAGAATAACGTCTCCCAGAAATTCTACCGACTTCCGCACAGACAAAGTTGAATAAAAGCCAGGTCGAGACAGCATCCATTCAAGTCAGGCTTAGAGCTTGCTGAGTGAGTCGGCCTCAAAGGTAGCCAGCAATCCTCCAAGAACCCATCATGGTTTCCCTTCTGCAGCTCGCCATCGGCTGTTCGGTCGCACTTCTGGCCAGCGCCGCCTGTCCCAGCAACGAATGGCGACCCTTCAAAGGCAAGTGCTACTACGCGTCGACGTTCGACGTCGGCGGCTGGTCCATCAGCGACGTGTGCAACTTCGGCTACCCCGGCTCCAAGTCCGTCTCCATCCACGACATCGACGTCAACTCGTTCCTGGCGCACGACCTGCTGGACGGCCAGCGCGCCTGGATGGGGCTGTACCGGCGGGCGGGCTACAGCGGCTTTCACTGGGAGGACGAGTCGCCGCTGGACTGGACGTTCTGGTCGTCGATCCCGACGGGCACCGACGAGCGGTGCGCCAACATCAACCAGGTGGAGTCCACCGGACAGTGGGGCAGCCTGCCGTGCGGCGCGCCGCTGCGCTTCCTCTGCGAGACCTTCGAGACGTAGACCTCTCTGCGGAACCCACCAGACGTACCACTTCACTCTGCAGGGCCCACGAAACGTGGGTCGGGACGCCTCCTCCAGGAGACTTACGAGACGTAGCCACCGCTCTGATCAGCCTAATGAGGTTGGATCATAGTCCTAAGACCGCAGGCCCGGACCCACACGGTGTGTCTCATTCCCTGACTCTGTTTATCTTGATATCAAAAATGTTCGTCACCTAGTTTGCTGTTTCTGCTCCGAAATAAACGCTCTTACCATGCACTTAATGGGTAACCCTGTCTGTGAGTTGAGCTCCAGGCTCCCGCAGCAGCATAGGCGGCGGAACGGGGGTGGGGGGTGGGGGGGGGGGGGGGGCACCGGCTCATCGTGCCCCCCTTGATTTTGCCATTCTAAACATTAGCCCTATGGGCGTTGCATGGAAAGAATGGGACCAAAAGTCAGCAGTGCCCCCCCCCCCTTAATTGAAGGTGTTCCGCCACTACTGCGCAGCAGTCGTGGCGTGCTATGGAGGACCGGAGGGGTCACTCAGCCGACCGATGACCGGACCGCGGACAGTGCGTGCCGATGGGACGGCCGCGGCGGCCGGGCCGCGCGGACGCCGCCGCTCGCCGGCACTTGGTATGCACGCTCGGCAGCGCTATCAATAGAGCTAACGACTGGACAATGGTCGGGCCGGCCGGGCGGCCATTTTGCACGGCGTGACAGCCGCTCTCGGACGGACGGCGCGCGCCGCCGATTTCAGTCACGATCCTCTGATTGCGATGGACGACGTGATCAGCAAGAAATTTCGGCACCGCCGCGTCCACCAATCAGAGGCGGACACCGTACGAACGTGCGCTCCGATTGGTTGCCGGCTGAATGCAGGCAGTAAATGGTTTTTGTCGCTACCTGTCCGGCAGTCAATTGCTGCGATGGCCATCTTTGATTATATGACGCTGCAATCTTGCAGCCGTGCCGGCTATCATCCCTCATTCAGGTTTTTATTAGTGCGTCATTGTTGGCGGCGGCGGTAGCGGCGGGGGAGCGGCAGTCGGTGCCGCACCGGTCACTGGTGCCCTCCCCCTCCTCACTCACGTCACCCCAGGTCTCCTTCTGACCTCTGCTGGACCCACGTGACGTCCCAATCTCCACACCTCTGTCCGAGCGACAGGAGGAGAGCGCTCCTATCTTGTAGCGCCCTTTCGTCTGTACGATCGCACCTGTGCGAGCCCTGTCGGTGTGACTCGATGCTGTCCCGCGCCTGTGGCCCGGTTCCTTTCCTCCCTGGGTGTTTGTCCAGCTCGGCGCCGGCGGAGTGCGGCCGTCGGTCGGTGATCTGTCTCCAGATCCGTCTCTCCCGAACAGCCGACAGCCGCGCCTCTCGGCCGGACGGGCCGGCGGCTTAGCACCGACGAACGGCTTGTTCATCTTAATGCGACACGAGTGGGCCGATGTGTCGCGCCGGATTTAGTTTGTCAGTTGAAGAGCGCGTCATTGCTGTGGCTGCGCGCTCCGGGCCGGCCGTGTGAGCTCCGACAGAGGTGTCAGCTCGGCTCGGCTCACACTCCGCTGGCCGGGGGATCAGCCGAGCGGCCTGCAGCCGATGACGGCCCGCGTCTTCTGTGGAGCGGCCGAGCACGGTAACGGCACTGCGGCCGGCCGGCCAGCGGGGTGACGGTGATTTCAGCCCGTCCTCCCGGCGGATTTTCCGGGTGTCGAGGCGGAGTGGGAAACGCGGGCACATTCCGACTGATCTGAGCGGAGAACATGGACCAAATGGCTGTCCTTATCAGTCGACTTAAAACGTCCACATAAGGAGACCAATGTACGATAAATTTTAAAGAGTTGTAACCCTAGACAAACCAAATCGCATTGTAAGACGAAAAGGCTAAACTGAACCCAGCTAAGCGCAGTGGTAGTACCTACTGCCTGGACCAAATGTGTTGGGCAATAGAGGCTAGACTGTGGGTTCCTTGGCTGGAACTGTGGGGACCGTGGTGACTGACTGTGTGGGCTGGGTCTGGAGTTCCTGGCGGAGCTCTGTGGGGGCTGGACCGCGAGGTCCTGACGGCGGCGCTCGGCGCGGTGTCAGCGCCTCCATCAGTCAGGCGGCGGCACGGAATGCACGACGAATCGGCATTGTTGCGGTAATTTATCTCCGATTCAGAGGCGGGCGCCGGGCGCCTGCTGGCCGGGTGAGTGACCGCGCCTACACCCGCCGCCGCCGTTCTTGTGGCGCTCAGCCGCCCCCTCGCCGGGCCGCAGACGGATGGCGCCGATACTATCACGATCGGCACTCGGGCGCGACAAAGCGCGCCGCACGCGCGGCCCACTGCAACAGAGATGGCGCGCCCCGATGGAGCGCGGCGCTGAAGGCCAGACTGATCGGCAGGCCGCCGACGGTAACCGATACGGCAGCAGGGGAGCCGCCAGAGCCGCCAGAGTCGGAGCAGAGGAACCGACGGTAACCGATACGGCAGCGGGGGAGCCGCCTGAGCCGCCGGAGCAGAGAGGTCGACGGTAACCGATAACTGATGGTGACCTCAGAGGAGCCGCCGGAGCCGCCAGAGCGCCAGAGCCGACGGTAACCGACAGTAACCTCAGAGGAGCTGGAGGAGCCGACGGAGCGCAGGAGCCGACTGAACGAACACAACCATCGCTGCACGGAGAGGGCTAGAACAGATCACAGGCCCGCTCAGGTCATGATTTTGCTATAAACAACTTGGACGTGACGTCCATAGCAAGCATTGTAAGTGGCCCTTTGATATGACCTAGCCTGATTCAAATTCTGCCCAATTATAGGCATGTTTCGTTTAGTTGAGAAAGCAGCCTGGCCAGTGGGTCCGAAAAAGCTCGACCTTCCCGATTTTTCGTCATCCCATTTTGATGGGTAGTGGCTACTCCTCTCCTCAGCTCCGTCCTGGCCATCCGGCTCTGTTCAATACTCACACGGCCCACAGAGCCGGGCCACCGGGCGGCGTACCGTCAGAGTGACAAAACTGACAAACGACGTGAGGAGTCCCGGCCGTGTAGCGCACCGTTCACATACCGCCGGCCACAACAATAAATCCCGCCAATGACAGACAATAATCGGGGTTAATGAGAGTCAATGAGGCTGTAATGAACAAAAAGTAGCGAATTAATTCTCACTATTCAGGGACGAATAAAGGCGGCACGCGAGCTATCATTTGTCACGTTTTACTCCGTTCTTGTGGTGGCAGCACGTTTGAGTTATTTGCGCGTGCTCACGTGCGCAATAGGACGGTATTGTCTGGCGGCGGGCGAAGGTCGGGTTATGGGCCTCAGAGGGAGATCAGAGAGCAGGGTGGTCTCTGAGCAGAGAGCAGGTCAATTGGCAACGACGAGTGTTCTCGACAGAAGACATTCCATAAGACTGAATGCATGTTTTCTGTGAAACTCATGACTGACGACCTTCTGAAACTACTCAGCTTGTCGGCGGAAATGGCTGTTAGCCCTCGGGCAACCGTCTTCACGCTGGGCGGCACACTGAGTCGAGGCAGATAACACTATGTGGAACCAGTTCGCATTTTCTCTCGCCACTGGCCATCCGGTGGTCTTCCTCTCAGACTAGCCTACCGTCTGGCGTCGCAGCAGTTCCTCAGAACTGTGTGTGACCTCACCACCTGACCCAGTGCGCCGCGCCGTCACCCGGAGCCGGCACCCACGGATTCCGCGGCCGGCTGTGGGGAGACTCCCCGCTGGGAGAGCTGTGGGAACCGACCGTCCCGGCTCCCACGCCTCCCGGGCTCCCTCCCCGCACCGTGACACGGTGTGCGCAGCACCTGTGGATGACGTACGGTCCGGATTGAATTATCCCGACAGGCCGATGGCGGTTACGAGCACGAGCGGCCTCATGAATGATGAGTGGGTCGGACGGCCGGTCTGAGGGGAGCCGACCGCGAGGGAAGGACTGCGGGTGCTGAGATACAGAGCGATATGATGCATGTGTGGACGTCCGTCGCACGAACATTCTGCGGTTTCCGCTGCTGCGGCGAGGTTATTTCCACCGTTTGGTTTCTGGCTCTGAAGAAACGGAAATGTCATAAGCGTGAGCCAGGAAGGTCTGTTTCAAATGTGACCATCGAATGCTGGATGCGACGTTTGAATGCCTTTCTGGATTTGTTTCGAATCCTCAGCACGAAGAACTTTCCCCAGCCGCTGAACACCTGCGGTGATATGCCGTTTGATCATCTATCCAGAAGCCACTCTTGAAGCACCGCCTGACCATTCCGAGCCAGTGTTCAATTTCCATTCCAGCCCACAAAAAGCGTCTCGGTGGCTCCAGTAGCGGGAACCGGTGGGGTACGTTACCTACCTGGTCAGCTGGTAATGACGACGGCAGGGGGTGCGACGAGTCTGACCTGCAGCTGACAAACGGGAGGGCAGCTCAACGACCTTCAGAGGGCAACCGGCGGCAATCAACACTCCGGGAACATATCCGAAAAGCAGATACTGTAGGCGGCGCGCGAGAGGAAATGGCAAAGAAAATAGTGGAGAAGGAGCATAAAAGCCAAAGAAGGAGTGCTACATTGGGAAGTGAGAGGTCAGAGAGGTCTTCGGTCGGACACGAGTCTTCACAATCATTTGCTAAATGAGTTTACCAATGACAGCCTCGATCAGGAGCGTAAGATCAAAGTGTGCCGCCATTCATTGGGTCGAATGAACCGGCAAGATCAAACAAGTCGAACCGTAAGGCGCGAGAGAGGTCACATTGAAGGTCACGCTGACAATTAAATACCTAAGCTGGAGCTTCACGATTACGGAGCCTGCTCTGCAAATAAGAGAACCTGTTTGACTGCTGGAACCTCTCCCGGCAACTCAGTGGTACGCCTGAAGCCTTCCAATCAGTCATCAGTTCGGTCAGCGGTTCAACCAACCACATCTGGTCCACTCAGTCGTCGGAGGCTTTGTCATAATGTGTCAGAAGTTACCGGTTACAGGCTGTGATAGCTGGGTAGGCCAGCGCGGCCTCCGACCGGCTTCAAAGGGTAAATCAGAGAGGA